GGACTTCTGAACCATAGAACTGTAAGATGATAAATTTGTGTTGTTTAAGCCACTAAATTTGTGGTAATTTGTTATGGCAGCAACAGAAAACTAATATATACATTATGACCTTCTGATTACCAAGACCAGCAAACTTGTCACCACCTCATAGGTAACAACCCACCTTTCCATTATCTAAGATTTGTTGCTGTTACCTAGCAGCAGATTTAGAATAAACATGATTGCTTTTCTGTGTCCTGATTACTCCTATAAGCCCTGTGTACCCTGTCAAGGCAAACCATGAGCTAAGATTATCTACAGATTTTGAAGGAAGTAAATTTGCAGCCTGAATTGTCCAATTCTCTGCTCAAGTCTCTGCTTGGCAAGTCAGCCCACAATTCTCCTACTAAAGCAGAGCTGGTAAGACCAGGTAAAGAGAATGCCCACAGGTTCCCCCGTACTCGCATATGTAAAGAACACCTAGCATGTTATGAGGAGAGGATAGAGGGGTATGGGTTATACATTGCAATGTGCTGAGAGAAGAAATTGCTATCTATGGTTGATACTTTTCTTCAATAACATTGAGCAAATATTTACTGACTTCTTACCATAAACTGACTTTGACCCTCAGAAAAGTTGACCTACTTTCTACAGAGCATTCGTTCATTCATTCATTCACTCAGCAAATATTTACTGAGCTCCAACATACCCCAGAGTCACTGGGCACTAGAATTCAGGCCTCCTCCAAGAACTCTTGTCTTGGAGCTTTTTCAGGTCCACCGTAAGACATGGGGTGTGACTCTATTCCCGTCGGCCATGTTTCTCAATTATCACCCATTTACCAGGACTTGTTATTCTGAAGATTTTTGCAAAATTTTCCATTCTGAGCAGGCCTGATCCACATAAAAGCCTTGGTAATTGCCCGAATTCACTTACTTCCCCCTTTGCCACTTCCACCCTCCCTGGGCTTCCTTTCAGTTCCCAGCACCACTTGGCTCAAATGCTGAGGGCTCCAACCTCTCCTTCTGCTTGGTTCTGAAAGCACTGATGAGGAGAACTGTGAAGCTATAACATGTCCCCAGTTCCAGTCCAAAGTAGAGAGTTTCTCTAAAGCTTTCTGAACTTCTTACTCTATTACTACACCCTTTAAGAGCTCATTGACTCTTAAAATTTCAATAACCACTTCCAGAGATCTCATCAAAATAATGGAGGCCTTCATGAACTTATCCTAAATTACACCAACAGCCTCCTAGCTGGTCTCCCTCATACCAGTCTCTTCCCACTCCTATCTTCTCAAACACTTATTAAGTGCTCACTCAGAGCCAGGCACTGATCTAGATGTCAAAGACACACCTACAGTAATTCAGTGATTAAAAGCACATCCTTTGGAGAAAGGCAGCCTTGGATTTGGCAGAGCCACAGGCAGCTCTGGCACCTATTAGGAGTTACTTGACCTCTCTGTCTCTCAGTTTCCTCATTTGAAAAATGGGGATAATAAAGATTTATAATTCTCAGGGTTATAGAGAACATTAAATGAGATAATTCATGGAAAACACTTAGCACGGTGCCTGGCACGTGACAAGTGCTCAATAAAAGTTAACGTGACAGTAACAACAAAGGGAGCCTCAGGTGAGCAGCAGAGATGAATATGCATATTTCATAAGTTAGTGGATGGGAGAAGTGATAGCACTTGGTAGGTGTTGTGAGCAGGGGAAACTGATGAATTCGGATAGAGTGACATGGAGCCAAATCTTGATGGTTAGAATGAAACTTTCTAGGTTGAGAGAAGGGGAAAGATTTTCTAGCTTCAACACCTGAGCAAATATATGGCAGTATAGAAGGGAGAGCTTTTGTGTAATCAAGTAATGGCCATCTGTTGCTCTGTGCTCATCCTATCTAGACCATGAGCTCCTTAAGGAGAGGCACCTTGGCTTTGGATATGGGAGAGTTGTTCATTTACTCATGTAATTGAGTACCAATTTTATATCAGGCACTGTGCTAGATGACAAGATTCTTTGCCTGACTCCTGCTCTCGTGAAGCCTCTGAAAAGATAATAAACAAGAAATCAAAACAAGAACTTTGTGCTTTTTTTCCCCCTTCCCCCCCCCACTCTGATGGAATATATGTGCTATTAAGAAACATAAATCAGAACATAAAACAGAAACATATGAAAGAGGAAAATTAGTGGTAAAGGTCAGGAAAAGCCACTCTGAAGAGGCGCCATTCAAGGTGAGTTATGAAAAGGCCTGCGTAGAACAGTGTCCTAGGCAGAGGGAATGACAAGAACAAAGCTCCTGAGGTATAAAGGAGCTTGACAAATTAAAGAAATAGAAAGAAAGCCAGAGAAGTGGTACACGGTAAGAGAGTAGAAGAGGCAGTCCTGGGAGGGTGGGCAAGGCCCTGATCATGTTAAAGCTTGGTAGACCATGATAAAGAGTTTGAATTTTATTCTAAAATGCACCGGGAAGCCATTGAAGGCTTTCAATGGTAGAATATGACAAGATCTGATTGATTTGTGTTTTTAGAAGCTCCCTGTGGCTAACATGTGGAAAGTGGACTGTAGAAGGGCGAGAAAGAAAGCAGAGGGAACTTTTAGAAGGCTAAGGCAGTAGTCCACACCAGAGAAAGCAGCATAGGCTTATGATATTTAGATGTGATGTCTGGAACCTGTTTACATGAAATTACACAATCTACTCACTTTGCAAGGCCCATCTCCCCTGCACACAGTCTAGTTGGTATACAGGAGGCTTTATTGGTAATTGCCAATCGGTTGACTGTGTCTCCTCTGAGTCATCCCCATTTCCCGTCCTCCTTCTACCCTCATTCTTTTTTCTTCTTTCTCTCAGGTTCTTATTTGCCCATTACCTGACTCCAGCCTTCATGAGGTCCTACTGTTCCCACTCTATTCCTTTTCCTCTCCTCACACCATCACCCATGAAATTTTCACAAACTAGATGTAAAGGAGATAATTATTTTTCTATCCCACCCTAGAAGCATTTACAAATTATGAATTTCACAGAACACTAACAGAAACCTAAGCATAATTATGCCCTCAATATTACAACCAGGACACATTGTGGATGTTAAGGACACTATCTCCTCACATGCGTTCCAGCCTGTTCTCCTCACTGCAGCCAAAGCGACCTTTCAACAGGAAAATCTGATCACAATCTCATTCTCTCTCTCTCTCTCATGCTTTCTCTCCCTCTCTCTCGCCCTCCTCTTTCCCCTCCCTGCTTCAACCCTTCCAGTGGCTTCCCCTTGTTCCTCAGACAAATACCAACTCCCTTGGTATAGACTGTAGTGGCTCTATATGTTATGACCCCAGAATACATCTGATACCATTCCCCTCATCACTCCCTATGGCTCCACCACACTGACCTTCTTTAAGATCTTCTAACCAGATGTGGTCCCTTCTGCGACAGAACCTTTGTGTATGTTGTTCTCTTTGCCTCCAAGGCCCTTTGATCTCCCTCTTCCTTCAGTTGACTTTTATTCACTCTTTAGCTCTTTGCTCAAATTTTCTTCCTTAGCAAATCTTCTCTGATCTGAGACCAAGGCTGGAACCACTGTTATACACACTCATACACTACCTTTCTTTAAAAGCACTTATCACAGTTTATAATAATATGTTTATTTGTGTGATTATTTCATTAGAAATGGTTACACTTCTCCCCTCCCCCACTAGATGGTAAACTTCAGGAGGGCAAGAACATTGCCTATTTTTGCTCATCATTGTATCTCAAACAGAGATTAAATGCACTTAATAGGTCTTAAGAGGATTAAATATGGAAAGATTTTCCAAAATTTTAGATATTGTTCCCCTTTTGACTGAGCGAGCAAAGAAGGAAGTATGGCTCTTCAAGTAGCAAACTATTACCAGGAAGAAGAGAAGACAGTCAGCATCTGGTACCCATTTTGCTACTAACTCAGAATGTTTTCCCTGCTGAAAACCATCCCTGACGTCAACATGCCACTTGTTTCCAAGATATGTCATCCCTCCTGAGATGGTCCATCATCCTCTTCACAGCCCTCCACTTCAGACTTGTCTCCCCTTCAAGCCCTCTTTCCAGGGCAGTGACCACACCATCTGATTGCACAGCAAAGGGTAAGTGAGAATTCAATGAGCTACCACTCACTTACTGGCCGTCACACAACAAACATTATTTCACAAAGTCTTTTCACAAATAGCACCTTGTTTGATCCTCAAAACAACCCCGTGAGGTAGAGAAAGCAGATATAGCATTCCCATTTTAATAGATGGGGAAACAGGTTCAGAGAGGCAAGTGACTTACTCAAGGTCACAAAGCTTGTGTGAGGCAGATGCAGTATTTGAAGCTACAGACTCTAACACCTAGTTCAATGCTTTCTCTTACATTAGCAACCCCAACAGTTCCGTTACCAGTTACTAAACCTGGTTTTCTCATTCCCTTAAACAAGCACCTGTTCCTGACCCCTCGACACTTTCCCAGCCCATTTGTGCTTCGCTACCCAGAACTTGGCAGGTGTCTGTGCAATGAGGCGGAGGGATTCCCAAAGCTGGCCACACTAACCGGGATTGGTCCCAGGCTCCAGTCTTTCTAGCTCTTCCTCAAACCACTGAGGAACCTGAAACCCCCAGAAATAAAAACACAAAGAGAAGACCTGCCCCACCAGTGCAAGGTCCCTGGGCACCCTTTCTGCCCACGTTCCAGCAGGACAACGGGACGCCAGAAGCCGGCCTCTTTCAACAGGGAAGACCCTAGGAGAACAGAGGTCACCGCCCGCCGGCCGTCAGGGCTCCTCGGCGGCGCAAAGGATGCGGCAGTGATGGGCCGGCTCCCCGGTTCGGGCCAAGGTCACCCTCTCGCAACCCCGGCCGGATCCCCAACCGCCCGGAGCGCCCCCTGGTGTCCCGGGTTGGCCTCCCCTCGCCCTCAGGGAGTGGCCTGGGAAGCCCGGACTTGGGGGCAGAAGGAAGGAGGGTGGGCAGAGGATGAGGAGGCTGAGCCCCGGGGAGGGGCGGGAGGCGGAGCCCTACCTGATAGCTGAGGACGCCGTCCGGCTCGTTACTCCCGGCCGGCATGGCGAAGCCGAACTAGGTCTCCCCCACGGGCTCCAGGCAGAGCGTCAGTCTGGTGGAGTCTGAGCGGATCACCCAAGCGGCGACCCCTACCCTGGAGCCAACGGTCAACCATCAACCGCCGCCGCCTCCATAGCCACCGGCCCGCGAGGCATCCGCCGCAGCCAATCAGCGAGCGGCCTTTGCAGCCAATCAGGGCGCGGAGCACGGGAGGACGCTGTCCGGCGGTACCCTGGGCTACCAGGAGGAGGAGGAGGGAGCCGGAGGAACCAACCGCTCCAGGGCCCGGTTGCCGTGGAAACCGCCTCCCTCCCTTCAGGGGCCTCTGGGCTTGAAGGTCCTTCCAACTGCTTGCTGGAAATTGAAAATCTCTTACTTCTATTTGCAGCTGCACCTGACCCTTGGAAACTGGGAAAGGGTCGGTTTTGCCTATTCTGATTTTATTCCTTAGGAGGTGATTCTTAAATTTCGGGAAAACGTCCTTCAGAATTGCAGGAGGAAGTAACTGAGGAGGAGGGGAGAGGGCCTTCTAAAATTAATTGTTAATCCCTGAGCTAGAGGCCAGATCAAATAGCATTAAAGAGAAGCAAGCAGGCAGTGATCAGGCCCCTTCGCATACTCACTATGACTTAGGTGTTCTCCCTGAGTCTCAGGTTGGCAGCAAAAAGCAGAGTTGAGCTAAGGATAATTGTTGAAGTCATTCTACAAAAACACTTCCAACTTTTCCAAGAAATGATCTAAGGCAAGTTATTATTTAACAACAGAACTACTGATCTAAGACAAGGTTAGAAAATCATGAATAATGCATTCAATTTGATTTGGGTTTGAAAGAAAAGAGAGCCTGGCTAAAATTATTAACAACTCTGTATCCCCAAGAGGAGGAAAGCGGCATTTTGTTTTATATGTACTATCACAACAGGCTGTAGGTGAGTCCACATTATTAGGGGAAAAGAGTTGTTTCAAATAGTTCTCAGCCTCCAAAGAAGCTACACTTGGGGAACACAATCTGGTACATGTTAAAGTTTTAGTCCCTGCATACCATCTCTTGCATTAGCCCTGAAATTGGAAACAAGATTGGGCTCCAGTATCCCTGAAGCAGAACCATATTTCTGATCTCCCGTGTAAGCCCCATGTGCAGTTTCTGAGTTTTAGTGTTCCTTGCCACACTCTCTGTCCATCTCTTTCCTAATCATGCCCCTAGAATCTGGAATTTGCATCCCACCCTCAACCCCATTTTTGCCCATCAAAATCTTGACCATCCTTCAAAAGCCACCTCTTCCAAGAAGCCCTTCTTTATTTCACTCTTCCTGACATCTCTAACAGATGTGATCTCTCCCTCCTCAGAATCCTCATAGCACTTCAGATCTTTCTTACAGCAGTTACCATGCTGTGGTTATTTAAGTACTTTATATGTTGACTTTAGCTTAGTACAATATTATAAGGTCTTTGAAGGTGATGATTATTTTTCTTATGCCCATCTGTATACTCCACAGAGTCTCAAAGAGTGCTGGGCACATAGAAAGTGGTTAGAAAATACACATGCTTCTTAATTCAACCTAATTAAAAGTGTGTTGAACACCTATTAACATATAATTCTAAGTAGCACTGAAAATACAGAGAAATCTAAAATATGTATCTCCAAGGAGCTTAATAGTCTAATGTGGGAAACAAGATATATGTTAATACAATGACAAAACAATACAACATAGAATAAGAGCCATATGAATAATATAGACAACAAAGATTACAAAAATTCAGAAGAGAAAATGATCTTCATAACTTAAAGACACTTCAGGAAGGTGACACAGAGGATATGAGTTTGAGCTAAGTCTGAAAATATGCGTAAGATTTAGTTGAGTCAAGGTAAGGAGAGCAAGCATCTCAAGCTTTGGGCAAAGACTTAAGAGTAGTAATGCAAGGCTAGGTGTGGTGGTTCACACCTGTAATCTCAGCACTTTGTAAATCTAAGGCAGGAGGATTGCTTGAGGACAGGAGCTCAAGACCAGCCTGGGAAACATAGCAAGACTCCATCTCTGCAAAAAAAATTTTTAACTTAGCTGGGCATAGTGGCATGTGCCTCTAGTCCTAGCTACTCAGGAGGCTGAGGCAGAAGGATTGCTTGAGCCCAAGAGTTCAAGCTACAGTGAGCTATGATCGTGCCACTGCATTCCAGCCTGGGTAAGAGAGTGAGACCCTGTCTCTAAAAATATAATTAATTAATTAAAAATAATTTTTAAAAAAGAGTAGTAATGCATATGGCCCATTCAGGGTAGCCACAATTTGGGCCAGAGCAGAAAGTTATTGAGAAAAGCAATAGGATGTAAAAGTTGTCATAAAGAAAGGCAGCGTTCAAATTGTAGAGCTGGCTAATTAGTTCAGGCTTTGTTTTTCTTGTATGACAGAAAGTAGGACACTGCTGAAGGTTTTAGGAACACTTCCATGCAGCGGGCCCTGGGTTTGGTGGTATAAATGTATTGTGTCATTTAATAGTCATAACATCTCTGTTATTGCTCCATTTCACTGGTAAGAAAACTGAGGCTCAGAAGTTAAGCAGCTTCCTCAAGGTCAGGCAGTCATTCAGCTGGGATTCAATTATTCATTTATTAATTCAAAACACATTTACTGAGAACCTATGTATCTAGCCCTGTGTTGGGTGTTGAGAAAACAGTAATAAAACAAACAGGATCCTTGGCCTCATGAGCCTTACAATGGAACGGGGAGACAGTAAGTAAGTCAACAAACAAGATAATTACAAGTTATAATAGTTACTATGAAGTAATAAAGAATTGTGTGATAGAGCAACTGGCATGGGGTGGGGAGAGTTTCTCTGAGAGGGTGAGAAGCTCTGTCCTATAAAAATAGTACCAGGGCTGGGCAAGGTGGCTCACGTCTGTAATCCTAGCATTTTGGGAGGCCAACGTGGGAGGACAACTTGAGACCAGGAGTTCGAGACCAGCCTGGGCAATGTAATGAGACCCCATCTCTAGAAAAAACTGAAAACTTAGCCAGCCGTGGTGGTGCATGCCTGTCATCCCAGCCACTCAGGAGACTGAGGCAGAAGGATCCCTTGAGACCAGGAGTTCGAAATTGCAGTGAGCTGTGATGATGCCACTGCAGCTAGCCCAGTCAACAGAGTGAGACACTGTCTCAAAAAAAAAAAAAAAAAAAAGAAGTACCATCTCTGAAATCATCTGCCATTAGGCCAGGATGGATTAGAGAGGGAAACCTGAGGCAAGAGTCAGTTAGACTGACTCTGGTGATGTGATAAATCAGAAGGGGCCAAGGATAGTGGCCAAAAGAAAAATGTGCCCGCATTCCCTACTCCCCTGGAAGACAGGTCCCACCCCTGGCAGAAGTGAAGTGGGCAGGGCAGGGAGAGGAATACAGAAGTAGAGGTGATTCCTGGGAGCTCTGATGGATCTGATTTTCCTCCAGTTCCAATGTGGGAAAATGTCAAAGCCTCTGGCCCTTGACTCCAGGGTCAAGAGCCCCATCTTCTGGCCTATTGTGCAAATTACAAAAGGAAGTAGATCACAACAGAGGCAGCTGCCTAGGCTTCTGCTATCTGGGCCACTGCGGAAGACAGGCTCTCCCTCCTAGGGCTCATTTGGTCTCTCCTTCCCAAAGCAGGCTGGCTCACTTGGCTCCAGGCACCAGGCTGCTAGCCTCTACTGCTCCCTACCCTGGATGGAAAAGTCAAATATGTGGCTGACAGCCTGGCTGGCAAATAGGCCCAGGAGGAGCCAAAAGAAGACTATTCAGCCAAGGACACCACCTCACACTGATTATTTTCCTAAACGCAAAAAAGAAAAAACAAAAACAACAGAACAAAACTCAGAGCCTTCTGGGCCTGCACTTGGCCTAGAAAGAGACATAAAGTGAATATGAAAATGCAAAATACACGTGTAGAGACAGAGACCATAGAAATACACACGCACACAAATCAGCAGGGAAGCAGGGAGGCATACTGTATGGATAACCTCAATCATTGTAACAACTCTATGAAGTAGGCTCTATCATCCCATATTATAGATGAGAAAACTGAGTCTTAGAGATGTAATTTGCCCCAGGTCACACAGCCAGCACAGTTAATAAATGGAGACACTAGGGTCTGAGCCCACATGTATCTGATTCCAGAGTGCATGAGCTTAACCACCCCACTGTCTCCCATGGGACTGCCTGGGGATTCCATCCTTGTCTAACTTTTATAGCCTTCACCCTCTCTTCATGGCTTCCAAATGTGGCCATCCTTCCAGATTTTGTCTCAGTGGTTGTTAAACTTTGGGAAAAGAGGTGGGTCTTGAACCCCATGGAGACATGATAAAAATCTATAGACTCTCTTTTTATTTTTTTTATTTTAGCATATTATGGGGGTACAGATGTTTAGGTTACATGTTTCCCTTGCCCCCCTCCCCCCCCAAGTCTGAGCTTCAAGCATGTCCATTCCCCAGATGGTGCGCATC